GAAGCGCAAGGGAGCTGAGCGGCGTGCACCTGGCTGCCCCATGAAAGCTGCAAGAAGCATCCAGCAGGAAGATGGGGAGCACGAAAACTCACAGACAAGCACAAGAGCTGCACAAGGCTACAACCAACACCCTAGAACCTGGCTAAGGGGGGCCCTGGCAGGGAGTAAGGCCCAGTCTCCATAGCCTGGAAGAGGCTGTGAAGGGAGGGTGGGCAGCCCAGGGAAACCAGGCAGGAGGGCTGGGAAGGAGAGACCTCCGAGGGTCTCACCGCGAGCTGAGGGGTTCAGACCTGACCCTCGGGGCCAGGGCTTCTCAAAGGAGCTATGGCAGAGGTGGCCACCATCACATGATGCCTCTCTTCACTTCTCGGCTCCTCTCCCCACACAGGCTGCAGGTCCCAGGCAGTAGCACCTCTCTAGATACACCAGTGTTTCGCAGCAAGTGTAGCATGATGCAGCGGGCCCCTGCGGAGGGTGCGTCTGGTGGCAGCTCAACAGGTGAATGTGAGGGCCGCGGTGGGCAGAGACGGAGAAGCCATGATGGCAATCAGCAGGCTGCTGCGCGGATGCCAGGAGTCTGACTCCGGCCAGGAGGCACTTCCTAAATCTACACCATGGGATACGGTGACCAGCTGTCAGCAGGGGAAGGAGCAGAGCACCAGTGTTTTCCAGAGCATAGGTACAGGCCTGTCGGTATGGGGAGGAAGCAAGGTAAGAGCACACATTTCAAAAGGGGAATGCAGAAGGGAATATGCCTGCTTTCAGGTCAAACAAATAGTTTTGTTCTCAGCCTTTCCTCCTGAGACATCTCCGGCAGTACCCGTTCACAGGCCAGTAAGGAGTCTGGGTGGGAAGGTGGCCGTGCCACATATTTAGCATCCTTTTATGGCTAGCAAAGAATGGTGTTAGCTGGGCACAGTGATATACACCTGCAATCCCAGCGCTCAGGAGGCTGAAGCAGGAGGATCACTGCAAGTTGGGGCCAGCCTGGGTCACACAGTAAGTTCAAAGCCAGCCTGAACTACATAGCAAGACCCTGTCTCAAAAAAAAAAAAAAAAAAAAGAAAGGAAAGAATGTTTTTAAGTTAGACATCATCCGAAATGCCTATCATTATTGGAAAGGAGCTATGAGGGCATGGAATAGAGCTATTAAACAATAACCGACACCTTGATGAAGATCCTGGTGTTAAACACCAGCAATAAAGTATTTTATGGTAAGCGCAGAAGCTCTAAGCCCTCCCTACAAATATTTAAAAGAGTCCTTTCAACTCCACCAGGCCAAAGTGAGCTTTGCTAAAGCTGACCTAAAACAAAACAAGAGCACACCATTTTCAGTTTGCACTTGGTCTAAAATTACAGAAATGAAACATACTTAACCCCCTCCACTGGGGAAACCTCAGCGACAGAGCAGTGCTACAGCGAGGGAACCCAGGCTGGCCCCCACTTGCAGTGATCCTCCTGCTTCAGCCTCCTGAGTGCTGGGATTGCAGGTGTATACCACCGTGCCCAGCTAACACCATGCTTTGCTAGCCATAACAGCATGCTAAATACGAAGCACGGCTACTCTCTCACCCAGGTTTAGAAAGGTGCTACCTATCGTGGGTGGTCCCAATTCACACTAGCTCCAGAAAACAAACAAGGCTCTTTCGCGGCCAGGTACCGTTGGCCGTTATGGCCGAGAGCTCTCCCTTTGTGGCAGCAGCGGCACACGTTTGGCGAGAAACAAAAGCACCTGCCAACTGCAGTGTGTGCGCGTGCGGAGGGGTCACAGAGGGCTAGTGCCTGGGAAAGAAAAGGCAACAGCGGGAAGCCACGAAACAAGGCACAGACATAAAAGGCCTCCCCGTGCGGCCAACAGCTCCCCGCTAAAAGATGCCCTGGCCTCCTGAAGTCTTCCTCAAAGGACCTTCCATCCTGTGCACAGCTGCCGCCTCGGTCCCGCCCATCCAGCACTGTCCACTCCTCTCCCTGTTTCATCAGTCCTCCACAGTGACCACGCATTTCATTCGTGACCGCGAGCCCTCGGGAATGAAAAGCTACAAGACAGGGAGTGGGCCTGTTCTGTCCACTTGCCGAATCCTCAGGGCCTAGAATATCTTAATAACCCAGCTACCTAGCAATACTTTGGAATAGCATTGTTTAGTTTGGTTTTGCTTTTTTGAGACAGAGTCCTGCTGAGCTGCCAAAGGCCAAATGCAAACTTGTGATTCTCCTGCTTCAGCTTCCCAAGTACTGGAATCACAGGCATGGGCCACTTCATGCAACCAGAATACCAATTTCAAAATCTTTAGTTATAACTGTAAGGCTAAAATCAAATTGCCAACTCAGAGTACCAGAGTGCCAATATATTTTTCCTTTTCTCTCCCTGTTTCTCAGTTTCTTAGTTTTTTAATTTTCTTTTTTTGAAATACTGGAAATTGAACCCAAGAGGCATTAAGCTACAACCCCAGTGTTTTATTTTGTTTAAAAACAAAAAACAAAAAAGAAAAACCTCCTTTGTTGTTGTTGTTGCTGTCTTGAGACACAGTCTCCTGAGTAGGCCAGGCTGGCCTGTAACTCCTGGTCATCCTCCTGCCTCAGCTTCCTGAAGGCTAGGATTACAGGCATGGGTCTCCATGTCCGGTATTTTTAGACAGCAGCATACTAACGTGGCCTGGAACTTGTGGTCCTTCTGCCTGTCTCCTGAGTAGCTGAGATTACAGCTCTGTACCACCATGCCCAGCTTGCCGCCACTAACCTTTGTATAGAAATAGAAATTGAAACTATTGATAATTCAGGGCTGAATTTAACTTTTTTTTTTTTTTTTTTGGCAGAACCAGGAATTGAACTCAGGCCCTTGCGCTCGCCAGAGAAGCACTTATTCCACTGAGCCATCTCCCTGGCCCTGAATTTAACTTTTATAGGCCACTTTATTCTTAGCAAAGCAATAACATTTAGACTTCAGCCATTAGACATAATGACTACTACTTGAAATTGTTAGACCTTACTCAGATTTGTCTAATTCTTTTTTCAAGTGTTGTTAGGGGTTGGGGATGGAGCTCAGTGGCTCAGCACCTGCCTAGCAAGCTCAAGGTGCTGCGTTCAATACCAGGTACCCAAAAACCAAAGTGCTGTTAAACTCCTCCCCCCTACTAAGTCAGGGGCTGCTGCTCCTTCTGTCTGGACCTCTCTCATCCTTTCCACCCCTTCCCTTTTTCAGTTACCCTCCAGTCTCTACTCACACACGCCCACACACACACACACACACACACACACACACACACACGTGTGCGTACTCTGGCTGAGTCACACACCTGCTCCAGCACATTAGTAGTTCTCAGCTTCCTACTCACCAAGGACAACCTGATGACCATGGCCCTCTGGCCTCTGCCAGCTCCTGTAGACATCTTGGTCCCTGGCCGAGCCCCCAGCCCCCAGATTCCCTCCCACCACACCACAGGCACAGCCGCCCCTGCCCCTGGACGAGGCGGGCTCCCAGCACACTACAGTGCCTCTCCCAGGGGTTGCAGGCCCCTGCTCTGGCTGAGGTGTACACACCTGCGCTTCCTCCCCACCAGACCATGGACATCTCAAAGACAAAGCCTCCCTATTTCTTCTTTGTATCCCCAAACAGTACCTTTCCCTATGATTCTCTAATTACACATTAAATGGAAGGGAAAAGAAAAAACAAAGACCTAAGTCCTTTTAGCTCCAAGTTACAGAAAAGAACACACTGGTTTGTGTATCTGAACAAGTGACAGCCCAGCAGGACACAGGTGTGCTGGGTGCAGCCAAAGCCACCTGCAGACCTGGAGAAGACCAGCTGAAGCCCACGTGCGCAGAGCAGGCAGAGCAGAGTGAAGCAGCTCAGGGCAAGCAGGGTGGCCTGCAGACACTGGCCCAAAGGGGCCTGGGCCTGGAGGTCAACGGCCAAGTGTTCCTCAAGCCAAAACAGACTTGCTGATCTTCACCCCGCACAAAATAGGAAACTCCGAAATTTAAAGTCGTCTGCTTTCATCTTAAAGCACTGAAAGGGTTGAGCATGAAAGACAGTGCAGACGCTGTTCCGAGGCTGTGTGGTAAAGCCCCCGGCTGAGAAGGCACCTGTTCTTGCCAATCCAAGTAGGCGTGGAGGCTGAGGCAGCAAGCTGCAGTGCCCCGGCTGCCCTCACCCACGGCTCGGAACCGAGTGTGCTGCCGAGGTGACATGGGGACGTGTCAGTGATACTTTTCCGTTAGAGGACTGTTCGGGAACGCTCTCCTGACAAAGAAAAACTAACTGCTGTGTTTATAAAAATGTATCAGCCACAGAGCGGTGACAAAAGAGAACATGCCAGTGAGACCCGAGCTAGGGTCAAATGAGAATAACTACTGGACAGAACAACAGAAGTGACAGTGAGAGTCCCAAATCCTGAGGTGCACGGCTTTATCTCACAAGATTACTTTGGAAACCCAATACAATTAACTTCCCAGACCAAGGTTTCACTCCGCAAGGAAAAAGGATCGGAAGGTGCACACGTGGGACTGATGGGAAATGTGCACAGGGCCCTACTCCCCCTCCACAGTAGCCCAATAAAGTGGTGACCCTGGATGGATGTCACATCGTACAGCCCTCAGTTATTTCGGGCTCTATAAAAACAAATGAGTAATTTGAGGAGTTAAGCAGGCATCTTCTTGTAGTTACCACTACAAGACTCTAATCATTAGAACTTAACCATCGAACGCAGCATGTCCTCAGAAAGACCAGCCGGGGAAGGTGTTCAGGGAAAACCCTAGAGCTACCTAAACACCAAGTGTGGACAGAGCAGCAGTAGCTTATGACACGACTTCAGCCAACGCTCTCTGTGGATAACCACAATTCAGGCTGTGGTCATGCACTCTGAGTAGAATTCCTCTTGCTCTCTTTATTCCATTCTCTTCTCATGTTTTAAACAGCACAACCATTTTTCTTTCTCGGGAGTAGGTTTACTTGAAAGCAGCTAGCCAAACGTCCACACCACCCAAAGCCCCAATCCAATTACCTTCTTTTAAAGTCCATTTGATCGAGCCTGTCCTCTTGCTGACTGCATGTAAGCTTCCATCCAGTGTGGATACAAACAGCAAGGTTTCAGGTAGAGTCACGGTGCTGGCGCTTACCAAAACCTGCAGTGGGACGCAGAAGAATCTCTTGGCAACAAGCCTCTTTATTTTTGCACAAGCAATCGCAGTCCATCATCCCCAAGTAATTCGGAAAACCCTCCACCCGACAGATGGACAAGCTGAGCTCGCGGGACAAGCTGACACAGCACGGCAGAGTCAGGACTGGCGCAGGCCCCTTGCTCCAGCGAAGCACCGGTCCTCCCTGCAGGAAGGCGCACACAAGCATCGCAGCGCTGCAGCGCTAGCAGGGCTGGGAAACGCGCGGCGGGCGGCGTGAGTGCCGGCCTGACAAGTGTCAGGTGGCGTCAATCCCCAGCGCAGAAAAGGCAAGTATCGCACTGCTGCAAAGTCCAGGGCAGCCGACAGCACTCCCCTGCCCCCGCTCTCAGGTCCGATCGAATCTCTAAGCCTGGCCATCGCCCAAGACTCCATGATTTAAAAAAAAAAAAAAGGATGCTAACATCCATCCCTTGGCACACACTTACTTTTGAAATTTTACAAAGAAGAATTAGAGAAAAATAATTAGGAAAATATGTTCAAAACCAAATAGGAAAATAGCTTTTGTTAAATAATTTATGTGATAAAACATCAAGCTTCCACTAAAAACATGCTATAAAATAAAAAGCATTAATTTCCAGGTATTTCTTATTAATCAAAATACAATTTAAAGCATACCATTTTCTGTTCAAACGATAAAAAGCAAACTATTTTACGAAAACAGCCGAAGACTATAAAATTGTGTCTCGCTCCATCGCTGGGTGCGCCGAGAAGCACACCCGGCTGGGGGCACGTGCGCCTGTGCGGCAGCTTCAGGAGGCCTCAAGTCCCGCAGGGCTGAGGACCGGCGCGGCGCTCCTGTGGCTCAGTCTCCTCTACTTTAAGAGCTTGTAATTGTTTCTATCCGCTAAAGAAAGGATCCTAGACAGCAAAAAATATATAATACTTACTATATCCCGTTTAAAAACAAGACAAGACAAAAAAGCAGAAAGAAACAATGCTCCATGACACCCAAAGGCTAAAATCAATTAAGACACACATGCCTGAAGAAACGCTGCATGAGCGTTAACGCAGAACTTGACGGCATTGCTTCTATACGTCAGCTGGTGACGGGCGCACAGTCCAAACGGGCTGCGCACCATGGTTATAATTACACGGGCAGATTAGATCTCGGTCCGCCTGCTCTGGCTCTGCCCTCATCCCCGCTTGCTCTCCGTGGAGCAGCAGAGTGCACATGTGCGAGCGTGCAGGACAACCGCGAAGGTTTCCTAGGTAAGGCTTCTCCGCTGCCATTGGGCCGGCAGCAAGGACACCCTTGAGATCAGCTTTTCTCTTCCTGGGCCGGGGACATAGCTCAGCAGCGCAAACGCCTGCCTGGCAAGTGCAAGGACCTAAGTATGATCTCTCCTCCCCCTCAAAATTTGTTTTTTCTTTTCCTCCATCACTATGCTGTCCAGCAAATGAGCTTGGTCCTGCAGGTGGACCTTAGATTAAAAGCAGGTCAACACAATTTGCTTACACCGCAATTGTATGAATTTAGGCATACATGTTTGCTTGGCCCTCCTCCTCCTCCTCCTCCTCCTCCTCTTCCTCCTCTTCCTCTTCTTCCTTCTTCCTCTTCTTCCTCCTCTTCCTCTTCTTCCTTCTTCCTCTTCTTCCTTCTTCCTCTTCTTCCTCCTCTTCCTCCTCTTCCTCCTCTTCCTCTTCTTCTTTTGTCAGGGTCTAGTGCAGTTCAGGCTGGCCTTGAGCTCACTTTGTAGCCCAGGTGGTCTCAAACTCTCACAACAATCCTCCTCAGCCTCCCAAATGCTGGGATTACAGGCATGTGTCACCATGCCCAGCCTATTGTCTTTTTTAAGATAAGGTTTGCTATATAATTCAGGCTGACCTTGAACTCACTCTGTAGCCCAGGCTGGCCTTGAACTCATGCAATCCTCCTGTCTCAGCTCCCAAAGTGCTGGGATTACAGGTATCCACCACCATGCCCAACATAAATGCTATTTTTAAAATACAGAAATATGGCTGAGGGCCGGCCAGATAGCTCAGTGGACTAAAGCACCTGCTTAGGCAGAGCACAGTGGCCAGGGTTTGACCCCTGGCATGCCATGCTGGCCCTGCCCCTGGGGTGCACTGAGACAGTGTTTGAGACTGGGCGTGGTGGCACGTGCCTGTAAATCCCAGCGCTTGAGAGGCTGAAAACAGGAGGATCACTAGGAGTCTCATCTACAGTGAGATCCTGTAGACCATGTCCTAAATACGTTAAAAAAAAAAAAAAGTATGGCTGGCTTTTAGTATTAAACACAAAAAGACTGCTGAGGTTTACTTGTGCATGCGAACCTGACCTCAGAGCGACTGGTCACTCTCGCAAAGAGGCAGAATGAGGCTATGAATGTAGCTCAGCAGCACAGCGCCTACCTGAATAGCGTGTGGTCCAGATTTCAAGTCCTAGTATATTTTTTTTAAAAAAGGCTGACTGATGCCAGTTAACCCTAAAAGGAAGGCCCCATGGCCCTCTACAGGGCAGCCTGGGGCAGCTGGTCCCTGCATTCCCTTTCCATGGCGAGACCAAGGAGAAGAGAGGGTGTTAAGGCGCATTCCAGAATCTTGCTCTTGCCCAGCCCTTCTCTCAGGAGTAAGGCAGGCTGGAGGAGAAGAGGTTCAGCTCTCACTGCCTCGGGCCAGCCCACTCCCCGGAAGGGGAGAAGTACTGCGGGACTTCACCATGGCCTGCCTGTTCTTCGCACAGAGCCTGGAACCTGATCAAGAACAGCCTGCCTTTCATTCTCTAACCAGCAGACTAATCGCGACCAGGGACCAGTGAACAGAGCTCTGAGGCGGGTGCCTGCCCACCACCGCGTGAGGACCCAGAACTCACCACCTGGGGAATCATGACAATTACTTTAGCCCACGGGAGCCAGAGGAGGATCTGCTACACCTGGACCTGCTCACCCTGCGAGAGGAAGCTGCTCAGCCCAGAGCACCTGGGCCTAAACCAAGATCACCAGGGCTGCAGCTGAACGAGGTAAGGCCTCCCGGAGAGGAATGGGCCTGCCATGGGATGGCTGGGTTATGTTCAGGTGAGAAGCCTGGAGACTGAATAAATGAGAACAGAAGCTGTACACA